TACTTTCAGATAGTAGGTTTTCAGTCAGCCATAGGAAGATGATCCAGGATGTGGTCGAAATTCACTTAGAAAAAACACACTACTACATAGGCTTCAGTAGCATATATTCACAGAAGATGATCCGGATTTAACTATTCTAGTGTTTGGTTTTTATCCAAAGAATTTTGACTATGGTGATTCCTCCAGTTTAGTCTGATGGACACTCCAGTTAAGTTCCTTCAAGTATGAAACAGCTGCACCGTTATTCTTGAAAAATTACCTTTTATGGATTGAAAGCTAGAATATTGCATTTTAATAGTTGTTGCTCTGATGAAGATAATTTCAGGATCCATGCTGAGTATGGCTTATGTTTCAGTTAAGTCGGCTGTCCCCTGACAGATGACAAATGCTAGCGCAAGTTAGATGGCCTGAGGGCTTGACAGCTGCAGTGAGATTGGCCGTCTCCTTGGGAAAATTCGTAACCGGAAATCATGACTCAGCTGTGTAGACGAATAATGTGGATCCACTGACGTCTGGGGTTCGGACTATCCAGTTCAGTCACCGTTAATACTTTGAAGGGAGACAGCTACTGGAGATATTCAAATGCTCTGGGGTTTTCTTCAATTAGCCATTCACTCAGTTATTCGTACCTTTAGGTTGTGCGATCCAAACCTTCACACTCTGAAATCAAGTGTTCCCATGCAGAAGAACTTGCCACAGTTTTATCCAGTTTATCTTGTTTGATCATCTCCCCAATGCCCATGGCTCTCTTGTTCCACCGGGTTCATTTTGATGGTTAAATTCCGTTTGTGAGATGAGACTGAGAAAGCACACATTCGAGTCTGGAGACTCAAGCTGAATATTCTGGCTATCCGCTTCTAAGCTGTGGTATATCTTTTACTGACTGCACTCATGTATTCTGAAGCGAATCCTTAGAAACTGATCAGAAAATTAAACGAAAGCCTTTCAAGATCAGCGGTTTTCTTCCATCCATCAAAATACATGCTTGTCATGCAAGTATTCTACCGTCCTGATTTGGTTGGTCGTGAGGAATTCTTCGACTGAATCACCGGCTGATTCACCAGGTAATATCCCAGGTTGTATGTTAGTCGTAAATCGACGGAGACCCTATTGTAGAGGAACCAATACACAGGAAAGTTCACAGCCTTCGCGTGCCAAAAGATTTCCGTTGAATTGTTTGGAACATTGTGTCTTCCTTATCTATCACATTAGAAGAGACAGAAGACAAGTGTCGCAATGTTGCTCTCTCATCTAGTATGTTGACAAAGCGCAATAAATGAACTATTAACGTATGGTAGTGTCTCGCGTACAGTTCAGATGAAAGATTAACCAAATGTTTGCTCTGAAGGTTCCATCTCAGTCACCCAGGCAATTCTAAGCGTAATTTGAGGAGTGGACTCAAAAAACTTAAAGACAGAATGATGCAATAAAATTTTCTATAAAAAAAGCACGTTTCAAGAACTAAACGACATTGAACTACGCAAACATTAACAGGTGACACAAAATTCCAGTGGTTTGACAGAATCGCACGAAATCCAATCAAATTGTGAACGCAACTTCGAAATCAAACGCAGTATGCCATTGGAAAGGGAGAAGGATCAAAAGCACAGCGAAATCAAAGATCCCGCTCACTGCTGGTTTGGAATTCGCAATCTGCCATCACGGCAGAATAGAATACGTGCATATGAACTGCTGGCTATAATAAATAGTGTCATTTGTGTTCCTGAAATCATGATAAAAACAGGTACCATCTGAAGTCAAAGTAGGTTCCAGATACCGGGTAGGCTCTGTAGTACCCTTGTTCCATAGGATGCAGATTTCTCAGAACTAAATGAATCCGGTACCGTGGAATGTCTGTCCCGAGGGGAATATATATAGGGAAACTTTAGGTTTATACGTAGTTCTCATGTGAGTTTCATCACAGGTCAATATCTACTTCAGGTTACGACGTCGCTTGCACTCATACAGAGCTCCAGTGACAATCCTTGTGGAAAAAAAATCACAAATCATACTGGTGAATGCTATTCTCACTACTAAAAAACTAAGTTCGTATGTTTTGAAGCAATAAACATAACCTGTGATTAGGTCTAGATATATTCGCTATTTGTTGCATTGAATTTATAACAGGAAATAAGCTCAGTACACAGCAAGGCAATCTTTCACTCAACAACTTTTGGTTCTGCCTGTATTTCATAACCAGGTACACTAACCTTGAATCTTTTACATTGCCATCTTGGGAGACAAAATTTCCTCTGCGCGAGAGCCAAAAGATCCCTTGCTGCGTGTTAGCTTCAAACGCTGGCCATAAACGTATGTTGGCAGACAAACCATTCATTATTTTCCGCAAAATCCTCTCTCTTTACTTTTGCTTGCTTCACTGTAATCAAGTTTTTCAAAGATTCATATCTTCCAGTACCTTTTGATATTCGAAATAATTGTGGATGGGTCACTGTCCGGCGCTGAGTAAATCAGCCGTAACTACACCAGACTGATTTTGCCTATTCCGAATTCAAAATACCCAACTGGATGGGGAATGGTATTCTGAAATGAATGTTTATAAGGCATTCAAGCTCTACAGTAAATAACACAAGTATGATACACCTGTAGGTAAAGCTGCTTATTTTGTGCAACACGTGATCGGTCGCGGCATATGAGATTCTGCTGTATGCGGAACATCCACACCCAAAACAAACCAAGGTGGATTTGGTTGAAAAAAGGTTTGGACTGAAATTTGTCCTTGCACTTGAGATCAATTCATACTGAAATCCGAGAAGCACTTAATGTCCATTTCCACTCTGTTGGGTAACATGAGCAGTGCGTGCCTTACTAGATTCGAAACCGTTTGCTAGTTGAACGCGGCCACGAATGGCTTATCAATAGTATGATTAACTCGTTCGTCACACTCCACGTGATCCAGTGTTTCAAATTCTTGTCACCACACGCAAACTGTCACCGCGGCTAAGTGGACCTTTCGACTGAGAATTAGTCATCAGAGAACCGACAGGTCATCTGTCCGAATCACCCTATCGATTCGTAAGTTCAGCACCATCACGGATTCCCTTCAATGACTCGACCACCCTAATGCTTTTCGGCTAAGACTGACTTTATTTGTGGGATGAAACCTCAAGATCTCATCGTGCAACAAACTAAAATGGTTATTCAAACTTCGAAATCTAACTAACCCAAGGTAAACCTTTTGCGCCCAAGCGCTCTCTCCTCTAATCTCTTATTTTTCACCACTCATTGATACATTGTTTCTCTGTATTTTCGTAAATTGTGACTACTAGTTTCATTTTCAACAGTTGATGTAACTTATTATTCACCTGGCATCTCGTTAGTTTGTCTATACAGTCGCTGACGAAATATAGGAAAAAATCTGACCAAAATGCTTCGCTTTCCAAATGTCGGGCTAAACAGTTTTTACGTTTTTGAACCACTTGTGCCTTCGTAGTTCATGGATGAAAAAGATGCTTTCCTTGACGTTTCAATGTTTGTAGATACCGTCACTCTCAAAATAGGCTCTTCCAAATCGATTCGCGCAACCCACATACTATGCTGACGTACACTGATAAAAAGTTCGGTGCGAATATCAGCCACGCCTTCCTAGAAAAAGGCTTTAAATGTCAATGGTCTCGGCATTTTTGTTGCAAGCGAGACATTAGAATCTTTCGGGCAGTGAATTCACCTTCACCCATTCGGTTTGAAAAGTACGCTGAAACATAAGTTTTGTTCGACATCCGTTATCTAGCAAAATTGCCTTGATATTTGGTTACAGAACAGTCTAACATCTTGAGTGTGTCAGTTTTTAGTACTTTCAGAGTTCATTGTTCCTTCAAGTTGTGTGTTTCAAGTAATTGAATCATTAAAAATCAAGTTCTCTAGGAGGAAATCGCTTTCACGACGGAGCCGACTTTCCGGGAAAACGGTACCGTCTTTCGCTTGTATATGTAGCCACTTTCTAGTCTATTCTTTGCTCGTACCTCAAACTGAGCAATGTATCTTAGGTGTGAATATTTTCTTGGTCACTTTGCTGAATTTTGAATCCAGGTCACTCGTTGCGCACGTCCAGTTCGCGATTATCTTAATCCCCGTCATCAGGTTTTTGCCATTTACCCTATAAAGTCTACATCAGAATTTAATTATCGATGTTATTACAGAAGCCTACAGGACCGAATTAGCCTTTTCAGTTGGTGCAACACTACTTTTTTGTCAGTCTTTATTTCTAGGATATATTGTGAAGTCTGTTTGCCGGTTTTTCAAACGTTATTTGGCTATTCCGTATACCAATTAGCTCGTATTTCAAGCGTTTCAACGAATGAACCAAAGAAATTTAGAGATTAGCAGTACCGTCTAAGGTTGTGGGTTGGTATAAAAATAAGAAAAAAGACTATTGACGGAGGCCAGTGGGGGAATTTTGGATACCTCTAATGCTGTCCAACGGTTTCTGTCCTGATTATGTCTACCCAGAGACAGGACCTCCTGCTACATTTTGAAATAAAACTACCGGTCAGAACGACTTAATCGAATTTTTGATACCAGATGGCCTTCAGGTAACTGCTTCGTTTCTTCATAGGTACAAACCGCATTCAACAGTTCACAATGAGAAGTCACTTAAAACTACGTCAAGTGAATCTGCACGAATGACGAGTGACCCAAGGGCATGTTCATCCCGCTTTTACCCACCGCATAATGCGTGTTCAGCTTCTACCCTGTTGGTCGAAGATCCGAACTCCCTTCGAAATTGATAAGACGCTCAGTCATGTTGATTTGTAACAGAGGTGAAAGGTCTGTGGGTTGTTTGCAAGCATTTAAGCATGGGTTGATTCCATTCCGGACGCAATCTACATTTTTAAATTTAGTCTCTTTTGTGAAAGGCACAACTATTGTCGATGTATCACTCATGCATATTTGATTCAACGGCTTGAAATTTGAATTATAAAAACATCAGAATAAGATGTTTTTGTTTCACGTTTTACTGTGGAACTACTGAAGAAATAAGCAGAGGCAATGGATGAACAAGTCTTTAGAATAATTGTGTCGTAACAAAAGAGATTACTGTGAAAAAATTTCATTACTGTGATCAAGGTTTCTAGGACGAGTTGTTTCAATGTAAGAAAACACCCAGGACTTGCAGCGTATAAATAGAACCAAGATAGAGATGAAAAGCAATAACTACTCTGGTTTGTTGAAACTTGTTCACGAAAGCAGTGAAAGAATAACGAACAATAAAGAACAATAAAAATAAAGAAATATATAAAGTGTCACGAAAGAAGCAGGGTAGACTTTGTAAAATTGGACAAATGCAAAAATGAGATTAGATAGCAAAACTGACCCGGGCGATTGGTCTTTTTCAGGTTCAACACTTTTGTTCCGAGTTCACAACACCGGTCATACCTTCTTCCAACTGGACGAATTCTGGGATTGATAGGAATATGGACACAGCTTGGGTTAGAAGATACTATCGTGATGTATGAACGAAAACCAGGATTGTTACTGAATGTAATTGTATATAGGAATAAATTCACCGTCATGTTGATGAGGTGACACAACATCTCAGTTTTATTGTGTTTTCACGTTGCTGTCTACTGAAAGTACCCGAACTAGCCACAGGATGCGATAGGAGACCGAGTGACCAAATGCTGGGTCCTATCAAATGCAATTCAATTTATCACTGACCGTATGGAACCCAATGTAGTTATGCCCCTGTGGTGTCCGAGTATCCAGTAGAAAAAACTTCTGAGTCTACAGTTTAGATCCTGCTTATGTCTCATTTGCCGATTTTGAGGGGGGGGGGCTCCTAGGAAAGCAAGGCAAGCTCGTAACAGAGAGTGTCGACCATAAATCAGCGGTGGTTTTCTATGTCCAGGTCTGGAAAACTTGGGTCGTAATAAGCACTTGGTCATGCATAGTGAGGAAGCATGATAAAACTATTGGCTGATTTTTTAGGTTGAACTACTGATAAGCTGGCCTTCTTGTCTGTTAAGCAGCCAAATCGACGGAATACTAGCAATTCTTTTTAGGAACAATTTTGGCCCTAACTTGATGATACACTAGCAACGTTACCCGACTTTACTGGATGTCGGGGACTACGTACAAATCCACTACGATTGTTTGGTTTTCGCCACTTATACATGTTTTTACATTTATAAAATTTCTTGTTGGCATCTGCTTGTGTTTGTTTTCTTCCGGGCCATTCGTCTCGAAACGCCTACTGAAGTTTCAGGCAAGCCTCTCCGAGAGCAACGTAAGAACAGTCAGTCTGTGTTGAATAAGAATCTACCACAGGATTCCCATACACTAAGTTCCAAAACCACATTGAATCTGCTGCTAAACCACTCCTTTTGCATCTTCTAGGCAGAGTGATCAAGATGCGGCCTGGGTTTGAAAATCAGCTTACTTACTAGAAGAAACTTTTGTTTTTTCATGGCAAATTTATGAATAGACCAATATAGCATAGGAAACAATCAATGCATAACGATGTGATGCTACATATCAAAGTTTCATTGAGGTATGAAGTCTCCAAACATGAATAAAACCTGTGACTGCAATGCACGATTTCCAACGCTACGAAATGACAGTCCTTGGTGGCCAAACTCGTTCAGATTCGTCTTACTCAGTTTGAAGGCAGTGATATCAGGCATAACGAATTCTCATGCCTTCATCTGACATCTGAATCACACCATTTCACCGAGAGTTCCAGGTGTTTTGATTCACAACCCAGTTAGCATTTTCCAATAAAGAACACCACTTCAATAAAAAAAAACAGTACATTTACCTGTATTTCACATTTTCATCTGCCTGGAAAAATGTTGTGTACAATTCGCACGCGAAGTATCTTTGATTTCGGATAGCACGTTTCTAAGCCCTTACCGAAATACATTTTCCATTCCTTTTTCCTGAGACAGCTATGGGTAATGAAGTGATCCCAGGAAGATGTGGAAAGTAGAATTACCTGCATCCAACAGTCATGATTACAGTTCTGTTCAGTCGCTCCTCGTCTTAATCCTTTTACACATCAGGTTGCATCTGACTCTTCCCAACTCAAAATTTTGATCAAGTTCCCGATCTTAATAGGATGTGCTAAGTGTCTTTTTTTTGTAAACGAGCGTGTTCAATAAATCAGCACCGCTTGGGAGCAGATACAAGCAAGGTCTCATCAGCCAGTAGCACCATAATATCTGTGTAGAATACATCTTCTGATAAGTCCGTTAGGTGAGCTCCAAAAAGCAACGAAAAACCATCGCCACTCAAAGCGTTCTGCCGATATCTATTGAATGTTTGGTGACGTCGTCTTTCAATGGTTGACCTAAATCAAAACTTTAAGAGCGGCTGATCAATTTTTCGGGCTACAATAATCGTTGACAAGAGTCTGGTCACATGATGTTCGAAAGATGAGCGTACTGAATTTCACATCAGTTACGTTTCCCCAACCAAACAATAAGGCCGTTGCCGATAGAAGTCTCTGGGTACTATTGTCAAACAAAGGCTGTGGGATGATCGTTATATATGAAGCTATGAAATAATTAATTGAAACTCAGCAATATAACCTCCGTTCACCCAAATTCAAAGGTGGTCTGTATTACATTGTGCTTTTAAATTCATGTCAAATTACACCTCATGGCACTATAAAGAGGGGACCACTAGGCAAGCTAATTAACGGCTCAAATATGCCACCCAGATCCAACGTACTCAGCACTCACATTCCACGGTGAAAGTGTACGTCATTTAGACTAATGACCAGGCACTGTATTTTATTTAGAACCGGTAGGAAATAATGTCGACATTTTGGAGTTTTTTTTAGATCTACCCATCATACTTTGGATCAAAAGGGCATTGCAAATTTCCAAAATCCAGGCTAAGAAACGCTCAGACCGTGTGAAAAGGCGGTGGAAGTGGATAGGGCGTGTTAAAGCTCTACACAACGGTCCCTCTGCGAATGGTTCACTGATGCAAGCCGCCACTTTAGCCACAGAAGCATGCGGATTTGCTGGAAATTGACTACTGGTGTAAATAGGCTTTCAGCTGAGGCTTCCAATCCTGGTCTCTCCAACCTGTTTGTATTGGTATGGGTTACTGAAACGCCCTCAAAAGCCATCTTGGTAGGTGATCTTATACGAAAGAACGGTAGCGAGACAATCTGTGAAAGGTGTTATTAAATCAGCCAGATGGTAACGACAAACTACTGCACCAGTGGGTCACCTTGGAATATTGAGAGAGCCTAAAACGAGACAAAGTACCAATCTACTTGTGTGGTGGGGAAGCAGCTACGGTCGGCTTGCAATCTGGAGTTGCGAAATGCTTTTTAGTTCAGTGAGTCAGTAAACAACGAAAAAGACCTCCGAAACTTATTGGCTATTCAACTCACTCCAGCCAGATGTATGAAACACAGTATAATGATAAAGTTGTCGTTTTGAGCAGCAGAGTTACACATGATTCCCCGACATTACCAGCATTTGTGAATCACTTGCTGGAAGAGACCTCAATTCAGGAAGGATAAAGTTCTTCAATACAAGCTTAGGTGTGACAGACCGATCTCAATGAACGACCAATAAATTACTAAAAAAATTGAATCTTTAAGATTCTTGGTGCCGGTAACTATGCCGTCAGACTGATGACTCCAGAACCTTCGGGGAGTTGAAAAGACTTGCCCACAGACGCTCGACAATCTAGGAAGTTGGCTGTTAATGATAAGCCATAAGCGGCGGCAATCCGGAGCATTATTGTGAGTCATCTCATTCTTACACTAGATGTAGTGGCGGTAGACAAAATAAAAGAATACACAGGGAGAGTAACGATTATTGAGCTTCAGTTGAAATTTAAAATACTTGTGATCACTCCGTGCCATGTAGTTGAGGCTTGCCCCATTGATGATCAAATCCAAATAAGGTTGTGCCGCAAGTGACCAAGACTAGCACGCACGCAGTTGTTCTTTGTGACCGGAATTGACTGCAGGCTAGAGCTCTAGTGTTATGTTGATAACGCTGAATTAGTCAAAGAGCCATACCGTGCCACTACTGAGACTTCCGCTAATTCTTTGTGATTCTGCCTCAATTCTCAATCCATAATATTAACTAATAACTCCTAGGTTAATTTTAGTAGCGGAGATGTCGGTTATGAGTTACAAGGTGATCACTACAACACTAACCAAATCTAGCCACTCCATACTTAAGTCCACGGGATCTTTCGACATTAGAACTCGTAGGGATATCGGCCAGAATGGCGTTACGACGTTTATTGATGACAAGATATCGGTAGAAGTATTTTATCCTGTGGAAGTTCAATGAAGCTTTAAGCAAAGCAGTCGATCTTAGGGTGCCCTTTTCATCCAGAAGCGATCAGTCACGAAAGTAAAGAATTCCCTAGAGTTTCGTGACATTCAGACTGCCGATTATCCACACTAAAGGTTAAACGAATGTGTGGTACTTCTCAACCTTCCACTATAGTTTTTTTCCACTTACAGGCCATCCGCTATGGCTGATTGCCGAGTCTCTGAAACGCACTAAGGAATCGTAGCTCGACCGCACTAAAGGCTAAACGAATGTGCGGTACTTCTGAACTTTCCACTATAGTTTTTTCCACTTACAGGGCATCAGCTATGGCTGATTGCCGAGTCTTTGAAACGCACTAAGGAATCGTAGCTCGACCGGACACTGATAACAAATTGCCGCGCTATGCATAATAACCTAATTGTACTGTAGAACACTTTGAACTTCCATCAGCCTAATTTGAAGAGGGTAGAAAGCCTTTTTGTTCTGTTTCAGTCAAGGTGGTTTTATTTGTTTCGAAACCGTGAATATTCCAATGAATTCCGACCAGGCATCCACAGTGACTGCTTCAGCAGATACTACCTTTAATAATTCTGCGACATGTCGAGTTGGAAAATGAGATCCTGTTCATAGAACAGCAAACAGGAAACTGACCAGCTAAGGATGCTTTGATCACGCTGTTTGTTAGTCAGAAGCAATGATCGATGTGAAAAACTTCTTGACTCCGTGAATGAATCGACCTCCTTTATGTCTTCAGTGAACAGAACCTTCTAGATACCACTAGAGACTTCCTGTCACCTAAATTCTTGTCGATCAATTTTTTTCCCAATGCAACAGCGAGTACTCAGGTTTGCATGCTAACCTTTTTCTTTCTGTTGTCGTTTAGGTGGGCTCCACACAGAAAGGCAAGCAGTCGGGCTGATATGTGGGAGAAGAATAGCGAAATTTAATTATGCAGATTGCATTGCTGTGTGATCCAGTTATCGTGTGTCCAAACAGCTTGTCAGCAGAGCTTCCTCGAGCATGCCATCAGTGCGCACTGATGATGTCTCCTCGTATGGTGACGAAACGTTTACAAGCCAGGTGCCAAGCTCGGCGAACAGGTCAACAGCCACCTGATCAACAACCAGTCAACTCACCCACGTTAACAATATTTCAACACATTACCAAGCCGAAGGTATAGGGCATTAACAAATCGGGAGATTGGTAGGTTCCCATTGCTTGACTGGGCTACTCAGTTTAATTTTCTTCGATGTCGTATCCGATTCGGGCGGAGTTCTTGAGGACGTCTGGTCAATCTCACTGACGGTACCTCATTCCAGCACAGTGTCCAGATCCGATTATGTTAGCGGTGTTGTAAACAGGTACGCAATTTCTTTGTGCTTCTTCAACATATAAATAAAGTCTATCGCAATAATTACACTTGAATTTTGCCCACTTTCCTCGTGGACCCTCCTCTCTGGTCCTCTATCTGTCGTTTTCTTGGTGCTCACTTCAAACGTTTAGCCACCCGTGACGCAAGTAAATGATTCACAAAGGTGAGAAACTATGATCCTTTTTAGACTGCCCCTGATCGAAGAACAAAAAGTACGTTCGGTTGATCCGTTCCTACCTCATGCACAGGTAAACATCAATAACGATTCACTTACTCTGAAGGATAGTAGTTGCCGAAAAATGCGTTCAGTGCAAGGTGAGTGAATAAGCAAGCCTATTTAAGGTTTGAAAACATTCCTACCCACTCTGGCGTGAAAAAAATCGCGACTGTATCCGAAACAGAAGTACCCACCAGCTTATTCGTGTTCTTTCAGTAGCATACCCTGGACTTGTGGTTCATTATGTGACGCTCTGTTAACTGAGACTTTGCATTTCAACTCGGCTTCAATGGACGTCGGTGTACGACCCATTGTCTCTGGCATGTATTTGTAAAGGATGAGGATCACGATTGCTTCAATACACGCCGAGGGCAGAAACGCATACACACCAACGTATTTCTGTTGAACAGAGACGAGAGAGAAATGTGACAAATAAGACATTCGAAGTACTGAATCCACACAGACTCGGTTGTTGTAAAAAAGACCAGGACAGTGTTGAAAATTGGTGGAAAGTAGATAGATGGACTAACCAGCTAGAGGGAGCAATTTCATGGAATTTCGGAATTTTGGAGAGCTCTAATGAGGGTGGATGGAAGTACTCATTTTACCCAGAGCGAATGCTAAGTACATCTTCTAGTGTTCCATATCTGTGGCCCGCCCATTGCCATGTCAGTTGATGAACATACGTAGAATTCGTCGATCCTTAGTGTAAGAAACAATAAAACTGATAGCTTTTCATTCGGTCACACGTGAATAACTAGGACAGGGTATCACGGAGATATGTTACCGTGCAAGAACACAACAACGATGAGTGCATGGAACTCGACAAAAGTCTACCTGTGATGCCGTATTCGTTCGAACCATGAATTGTTCCGTTGACTAGTTCTGGATACGCATTAACCGGTATGCGATTAAGTCAAGCCGTTTTCAGCACACGAAAGTGCATCTGTAAGGCGGCAAAGTGTGAGTGCCCTGACTATGACAAATTCTCTGTAGCACTTGGAAACTGATACATCTCGGTCCATACCACGTGGTGTTCCCATCGTAACCTCTCTCATACCGAGTAAATCGATCACTTGGGTAATTGGAGGGTAACCGCTCATTGGTTGTGATATTTATGGATAGAGATAGCTCTGGAAAGCAGTTCGGTCCTTTCAGCTCGCCAATGATCAAGATTTTGCGGCCAGTCAGCGCACCTGATTTGTGCTGAATTCAACTACACGGCATGACGGTGTATCACAATGCAAGTTGCTTACAATTAGAGGCCGGGCTGTTCAGTGGTAACTACGGTTGATCTGGTATGACAACACAACCGCTGACAGACAGTTATGAGGAGACTGAAGCAAAACCTGAGATCGTATAAACCGACACCTTATATTTTAAGCGAGTCAACAATACTAAAAGTTCTAAATTTGAAAATACAGAACTCGCCTGTTGTCTAATACAGATGGACAATGGTGTCGCCTCCAAACAAGAAATGCACACTGAACTGCATTAGAACGGTGCATTGGAGCATATATTCGGCCATTCGGCCTATGCGCCAACAGGTGTAGTTTTAAAGTACACGTTGAAAAAACGTACGGGTATGGAAATCAGCTCCTACCGCAGCGGTCGTATATGGTGTGCTGTCAGATAGCGTGTGAAGCTAAGTTTAGAGCTTAAATTCGTATCACTAAATTTCAGCCCAACTCAGCGTGTGTACAGCCGGTTGATGATTTATGTTCATTTTGTCGAACAACATGCGTCATTGATGAATACAGTACCGGAAATCATTTATTTTTACTTGGATTTCGGATACAGAGCTTGGAATGCGTTGAACTATTGGTAGCTCGAATGAGTTTATTGGTTGTTGATCAGGTGGCCGTTCATCTGTTCGCCGAGCTAGACAATTGGCTTGCAAACGTCACCATACGCGGAGACATCATCAGTACGTAGTTGGGTCAGTGCGCACCCAGCCCGATTGCCAAGCTCGGCAAACAGGTCAACAGCCACCTGATCAACAGCCAATAACTTCGAACGTCGCTAGTATGTGGAATGACAGACATGATTAGATTGCTCAAACCACAGAGGCAGGCCATCACTGAACTGAAACGCTGTAAACCTCGATTTAGTGACTTTGTGCTCTAACCAACTGGAATTTGGTAAGCATGTGTCTAGGTGCAAATCGGTGAATTCATTATGATGGACTGTCCAGTCATCAAAAGAAAAGTGGAGATGTAAGCCCAAGTGTGTAGAAGCATACTGATGTTTTTATATCTCGACCCCATTAGAGAGAAAGTCTGTCGGGCTGCCAGAAAGAATGATCAAGTGAGCTGTTCAGACGTGTTGTTCATACAATCCGAATACTTAAACGCAGTTCAACTATTTTGCATAAATGGTCGTCTATTTCTATTGAACACATAATGATCACTAAACCACGAACTTGAAATTTTACTGCCTGTAAAGGGAGACGATCGCCTCCCACCTTCGCTGTTGATGTCAAGCTGTTGACTTTGAAAGAAAGTGTGCTAATATGTTATGCGTTATATATTACATACCCTGTGTGAGTCAGTCACGTTGCTGACCAACCACCCGGGACAAATGCTCAGCCATTGGCCTAATGATCTACAGCTTGTGTATTTTCGACAGCGACAAAGAGGCCATACTGCGTATCTTGACACCTCAGTGCAGATTGACTTCACTTTTTTTTTGCTTATTCCCCTCTTGCATTGTATTTATTTTTATCAAGTGCATACATTTTTTCGTAGAACAAACATTTGCTAGTGCTTGCCACCTTCTTATGATTAACCTAATTACGTTACAACCAGATCAATAACAGTTCGTTTTGCAGCTTGATGTGAAGCACGATCTACTGGAATTCCCCATTTTATAAATTCAAAGATCAAACTTGTCCGTGGACATTAGCTCGGGTCACAATGACGTTTGGCTTCTCTTAGTTAGAATGTTCATTATTTCTTTGCTTCTTTTGGCTTTTTGAACCCCATTTGACCTTAATTATTTTCCTTAGTGAATTTCCTAACGCAAAATTGGCTACACAATTTCACACAGATTTGACTGAATAACAAAAAACGCGTTTCTCTAAAACATCTCTTTGCTATACTTCTTCCAAGTTGGGAATCACTTTGCCAGACCTGGTTTGTCAAGTGACATTGAAATTTACGTTTTGTTGCATCAGTGATAGTTTGCACCTGCCATGCCAATTGTGATACGAGTCAGCACAGCTGGTCGTCAAGAATGGTCTTACGCTCCGTCGCGTCAGTGATATTTTACACCTGCCATGCCAACTGTCAGCACAGCTGGTCGTCAAGAATGGTCCAATAAGCGGGAAATCGTGCTTGTATTTCAGTTCTTCAGTGTCATCCTTTATGGAAGACCAAGAGTGTTCACACTGCTAGACAACCTTTTGTGTTCCAGATGTTTGAGGTGGTTGGTGAGGCGATGCGTCGGTGTTGAGCACTGATATCATGTTGTCGATGATGATGTTGTAAATTGATGTTTAAAACTTATCTGACAGAATTATTGTTATCTATGGTCGTCCAGCAGCAGAATATTTTCATACAACGTTGGCTCTGAAGGAAGAGAGGACCTACCTGAATAGACAAATTCAGTTAAATTTTGAGAAAAAACTGCTGTAGATATTACACACCGGATAAATTGCACCCAGAAGAACGGGTGATTGAAACCACAAATAAGTGGGCAGGATGGTCAGCTTAAAAAAGTTTCAAGATACACTTCCAGGTGGATCTGACTTTTCACCAGCGTTTCTCGTGGGACCGGAACAATTCAACACACAAAATACCATGAATGTCTAAATGCCCGGTAAAGAGATGGGGGCTTGATACTTTTATAGAACGTCGACACCTTTCTAAGGAAGTAGCTTATCTCGAAATTTCACGACTGTTTTGGCGCTAAAAGAAGCCAATTCTCATAGCTCTACCGCTGGTCAACCTTAATGTTTGAGCTAACTGTGCCCCAATTGTGGACTCTAGGGTTCCATTTAGCCGTGTGGATGGACTGACGCAATTAGTTAATTCCATCAGAACCATTTCAGTGAATTACTTTAAACTTTGAATTTCTTAAAAATGTGGGATTCCGTTAAGGTCCGTTTGGATCTTTTGTTGAAAATTAATTAATTTACAGATGAATGCACTTTGAGAATTTCTTACAGTTTGCACTCAACTAGAATATGTTTGGAGGAAACTCTGGGACGGAGCCTCGGGATGGGCTGTCGAAAAACTTTTAACAACCTTATGACCAGCACCAGGTTGTTTACAAACTGCTGCACTTCGGTCCAACCAGTCTAACTACTACGTACTGTGAGAGATCTGAGGTCAGTCGATCATGACGATGTAAAATGCAAAGGGCGAGATAGCTCAGTGGTTAGAAAGCGAATTTACTGACCGAAAGGTCCTTGGTTCGAACACTATCTCTGCCTCTTGGCTTCCCCTGTCTAGGCTTGGGCAACCCGGCAGTATCCCAGCCCTTGTGCTTCCTTCTGGTAGCATGGCAGCTAGGCACAGAAAGGGGTTTGCAACTGGGCAATTATAATGATTAGTTGAAATGCACACCTGAAGTTATCGTGATGCCAGTGACACGGATACGGACATTATTTCACCCCACAAACTAAATTATTTTACTATAAAAGGACTACTTTTAGGAATCTTTCAACCCCAAGTGTGATTTGTGTCGCCGAAATGAGCGCGGTACCATTCTGTCAGGAAGGCAGAGCACACTCAAACAGGAAGTAACTTCAACATCTTTCAAATATACAACGCATGTTTTGAATTTCATTAGCTCCTCGAGTACCTGTTCCGGAACATCGATAAATTACACAAATTTAAAATGCAGGTCTATACTTCCGTACTACAACGGTGAATAATATAGGGTCAGTCTAGAGCAGTTAGCAGAAACAACGTTTGCTTTGGCCACATCGTAACTTTTTGTGTCTTTGTCAGTCAGGAAGGAAACTAGTTTTTCCATTCATGTTTGTCTACTGTCAGATAATTGTGCTTGTGACAGGAAATAAATTTCCAACTCATTTCTGACGCATTCAGCTAGAAATTTTGTTCTTGTTGATGTTCCCCCTAATTATTGTGCCCAACCGAATAACCTTGTTAGTATGCGAATATTTACCAGCTTGGTAGTAGCTAAGAGTCAACCAAATCAGTGGAGGCTTTTAGGGCGATTCGCCTCTCCAAGACGACTTTCTGGTTAGCACCTCCTGCTCTTGATCGGAGGAAGTGCAAGGTAGAACTGTGACCGTCAGTGTCCCCAGTTCATTCTGCTCGCATCCATGTGGTTGACCTGACAGTTTGAGGTCTATCTACCTCGGAATGCCTATGGTTGTTACACGGTCAGCCCTAACCAAAGTTAAGTGCTAACCTAGCATAGATCTGTACTAGGCAGTATTTATTTGTGGCAAGCTCTAGCAGATTCTTATGTCGATATCACATTCTAAATAGTCCTGTTGTCCCATTGGTTTCCATTACCTGAAAGCAAGCGGTTCCTTAGTACCTTGCTTAACTAACAATTGTTTTGTACGTTCATGGTTAAATTGAGATAGCTAGTAAATAAACGAGTGCAGTAAAGGCCCGAATCATCTCGTCGGTCCAACTGTGTCCATGCGTTCATGTGTTTGAGCCACTGTTGTCTTCTTAAATCAAATGCAATAAAGTCAGCTAACAACAGTACACATAGTTCATACATTAAGTACACTGTCGGCGATTCAAAAGCAACAACTGATCCCTCTGACAGCTTTAGATTAACTAATTTCAGCTAGTTGCCCACATCCCTCCCAAGAAATGGAAATTCCATTTACTGAAGGTTGCTAGAGTTTCTTTGGGGAATAACAACGGTCGAATGCGTCTCAGTAAATAGTATGCTAAAATCCGTTTCCTTGGTCGTTTGGCATATGTACACCATGTCGTAGTAACTGAAAGTGATGATCACATCTTTTGACACCATAGAGGATTTAGGAAACAGGCAGGCATTTTCTCGTTACTAATTAGGTTTTTGTCTCATTGGCCAATCGCATAAGCACCCATTGTGACTCCACCCAGTGCAATCTAATGTTGTTCCAATTTGACAGAACGCCTAAGACCGAAAAGCAGAGTGCCATGTCATGTCAAACTTTGCAAAGAGGACAAATATTCAAAAGCGTATTTAGTTTTTCTTAACGTTCTACTGATTTGTCAAGGCCTTTTATTTAACCCGATTCTAATCAAAATTTTCCTTCAGCCTTCAACGGAAGGTTGGATAAGATGCTCGGAAACCATCCGGACCTTGGCCAAGCTGCCGCCACTTGCAAACTGAAATCTTGATCCAAGTAAATCTCTCTTTTACGTTTTTCATTCATGTTGGCAAATTCTGTGCCTAAAGGATACTACAAACTGAAATCTTGGTCCTCTCTTTTACGGTTTCCATTTTTGTTGGCAAATTCTGTGCCTAAAGGATATTATGGTCCTTGTGGGCCGACACTAAAAGCATCAAAGCGGGAAACATAAGATTTATTGGAATCTTTTGACAGTTTACCACTATCCTTCCTGGTTCCGGCCAAAGATGAATGCGTATCCTCTGAAATTGAATCATAATATACCCCCAGAAACATGCGTCTCAGGCGAGACTTTTTGGGACGCCATCAGTTTCGCTAAGGATGAGCTAGCAGTAGGATGTTTCTGGGCTTTTCAGAATACGCTGTATTTGGCTAACACGACATAATGCAAAACTCAGCCTTCAAAACCCGTATGAGTGGATCGAAAATTTTCTTTGCCATTTTGTCCTTAGATGAACGCAGTAAAGTATCGCGGTATAATGTATCAAGTGTAAGCAAAGAACGGAGACTTACAATTAGTTGGATAAACCCCAGACCAATGATAATTATGCACGTCCAGTTGACTGCAACACCAATAGCCGTAGCGGTATCTCTGTAATCTTGGGAGAACATTTCGACAACCAAAAACCAAGGAATTGAGCCTGGGGGCAATAGAATGAGGAGATTTGGTGACATTTCCTTTGCAGCACGGAGAACGGTAATATCCACGGAACGACGTTATAAAACCAAAATTGACGACAAAATGTGGCGATGGATTTGTGTGGATGGAGGAAATATCGTGAGCAGCTACCTTCTTACTCTAGAAGAATACTAATTCAGAAATTTGAATTTGTTTCTCATTATTCACAGGCAAAGTAAAATGTCTTTTGGAAATAACTCACTGATTTGCTTCAGTTGCCGCTAGGATAGCTTGTCGTGGAGTTTACTGTTGATTCAGACTACCGTCAAAAGTCACCCATTATTTTGGGAACCAAAAGAACAGGACGAGAAAAATACAAAATTCAGGGATTCAAAGGCTATAGTCTCAAGAAATTTGCTATTCGACGTTCTCTTTAAACGCTTGCGCACACCTGAGTTAAAGGCGTTTCACCATCCGCTGCTGACCTCAGCCACTAGAACAGGCACCATCCTGTTCAAAACAAAGCTAGTGACTCAACTTCGGAGTAATGCAGTAGCGGTGAAATGTTTTCGACTAAATTGCTAAACTGAGTATGAAACTCACTGACTGTCTGTTGCCTGATCTACCACCACATTTTATGGATTGTTTAGTATTTTTCAACATATAGCTTTACGCAGTAGAGCTATAGAGCAGTAGAGTAATCACAGTAGGTGAAAAGTTATTCGGATCTTTTTATAAGTGTGAAGAGAAAGTTTCAAAATAGCGCGCGTTTTTAACACAATTCTGCACTAAGGCCGCAGCTTCTGTGGCTAGTAGTCAGGAAGATAACTCTTAGCAAACCTGCAGGCTTGAAAAACGAAAAGCTACTCGCAATCTAAGTCACAAATGAAACAGTAATGACCGTAGAGGTTGTCAGGCAGCACTTTTCACAGAATACTGAGAAAATAATGTCTTCTCATTTGTGGAACGTAATGCCCAGCAGTTTGATCCTGAATTAAAATGTATAGTCGGAATAAGGTCCTATCAAGCGTGCACAGATGGAAGCAAGAGAGATGTAAAGAACCAAGTCTTCCACTTTCTGGACAGCTGTGTATCAAACGTACGATTCTTTCGTTTGGAATGAATTTAATTGCCACTAATTATCAGCTAAGCGTTAATCAAATAACTTTTGTCTTTCGAAACGAATTCGCGCAACAGGTGTTATAATTTGTTAAGCTTCGCTCTATTTTTGGAGCAGTTGCTTACGGTTTATACAGAAACGTCCTAATCACAAGTTGAAACCGATTAAATATTGTCTAGTGAGACGAAACCTCAAATGGGCTATTCCACTCAGAGGCCCATGTTCCTCACAATTATCTTGATCAAAGTCTGCTAACCAAAGAATAAATCAATACTGTTCAAATGATTAGCCGTCGTGATCAATGAATTTATCGCCTTTTTATTTCGCGTGGGGGTTCAAAAGCTATATTTAGTGTAGAAGAACAAACATTCTGGCTTTCCACCACAAAAAATCAAAAAACCGAAGTATGAGGACAACCTAAACGAAGTGTTTAAGATGAGCAGCTGATAAATTCATTCTAAAGACATATTTATTCTTACCAGTTTTTTCCGCTCCACGACTTCATGGATATTTTGATTAGATTATACGAATACGTTGGCTTTATACGGGTTGAGAAAGTATGGAAATACTATTGAATGCAACAAAAACTGGTATGAGTGTTTTTCGAGATTTTTGTTAGGTGTGTTTTGAGAAGAGGAACAGACCAAAAGATTAGACACAATTCTCCAACACATTGCGCGACAAAATCACAAATATATCCGTATGCTTATGGCAGCCCTAGGCAGTTTCAAGAGATGTTCGCACTCAAGATCTTGATATCTGAAGCTTTTCCATGTAAACCGAGTATTTCACTGCCTCGTTTTAATAAACATCATCGCCCGAGCGTATGAGGGACTGAAGTGGTGCGTCCTTGACATCCACTGGTTTTCATATTTTGTCTCCGTGGTTGGCACAAGATTAGTTTAGCAAGCTTTGTATAAATTTTCACTTTTAATTATGAGGCCTATAGTCACTTAAACTTGTCACCTAGCCAGCAAACTGTTAACACAGTCTGTCGTATCCCTCAATGGAACAGGACGAGCTGCTTGTTGTATCATGTGACAGTCTATTGGTTACGCCTGAACCGAGCTTGCCAGATGACGCAATAAGGAGAAGACAGAGAATCCGGGACATGTCTGTATTGTCAGCACAAACATGCAGGGCTCCTGCCTAAATATATAGGACGGTGTTTTGTTTTTTTCTCCGACCAATACAAGTGTTCTTGCCGTTAACAATTTTACATCAGCTCCGCTAGTCACATGGTGCTAAGCCATACCTGGTTATCTCCACCAACGCACCTGCTATCCGGAGCGTGTGGTATCGATGGTGAATTTAGGGACGCATAGTTCTCTGAACATGTAATCTTTGTGTCTGGACGCCTCCTAGAACATTCTAGCTTACACCTTAATTTGGCATCCCTTCAGATAGGCTGATGACATCTGTCATTGTAGTGGGTTGAGCGGGTAGAAGTCTCAGCAGTGACTATTCTTCCGGCGCACGGGGAACAATAGGATTTCGGCGGGATCCTAAGAGGAAGTTGCCACGCTTACTGTTTGGTGAAGTAGGAAAGCGTAGAAGTCTCAGCAGTGACTATTCTTCCGGCGCACGGGGAACAATAGGATTTCGGCGGGATCCTAAGAGGAAGTTGCCACGCTTACTGTTTGGTGAACGTAGGAAAGCTTCTTTTCACTGGAAAAGGAAAAGGATAATAAAAAGCAGATTCACTGCTTCATCCCACCCTGGTGTGTTAATTATCGTGATTGAGACCAACGTAAATGGGTGCAATCCAAAATATGCTAATAGCTATACTGATAATAAAAACGCAAATCTGTATATGGCCCGTCTAATGCGAAGTATGACACCAAACAGCCACACGATTCTCTACAAACCCAATATCTTAAAGTAGCATGCAAGCCCATAATGTTTTCATTCTCTTACAGGCAAATTGGATATGGTCGCGTTTCCGCTAACAACAGGCCTCCTGATTATCCTCACACTGTTGGACCAAACTAATAGCCAAGTCGACCGTTTGCCAACAAAACTGCTTTGACTGCAGTCGCATGTGGCCGTCATCAAAGCCCTGCCGGTGGGCCAACGTCCTTTAGAGGGTGATTTTGGGTGCAACTTCTGCCATACAACAGCAGCAAAACGGGATAATGCTGTTAACTTCGCTCTGTTTGGCCACAAGAAGAAACCCACGTCTTACCCTATTGGGACTAAGTGTGACTGGGTGGCCAATCAAGCCTATCTGGCTGATCGGTGCATTCACCTAACGGTCAACTACTAAGACGAAACGCATACCACAGTTGACAGCTTACCTATAAGCTGTTTCTTCTAAGACACTACGATAACCATGTCTCTCCCGCTAGTGTTTCAGGGTCTGACATATCCATGGTATCGGGTATGTGAGCTTCAACTTCTCAGGCATTCTAGTTCTTGTGCTACCTATGCTGTTCCTGACACGAGCATGATATTTTGCCTTGGAAAGCAACACATCTTAACATAAACGCTCACGTGACGAATGCTCACCTATTTTATTATTTTATCGCTTGCCAGCGACACATTTAAAAGGTGTTCATTACTAGAGCTTTATAAGGAGTTGGATGATAAACCTACCACAATCTTGTATTAATTAAGCCTAAAAGCCAGTCTAATTGAACCGCATCAGTGGGTTCATAAAGATCATTGTCGAGTGTCCGACAGATTAAAAAACAATATTCTGTGCCAGCGCCAACTGGCATGCTAACGTTAACTGTTTCGTCCCTACAAATAACTAGTCTGGCGACTTTTCTGGAAGGGCGCGGTACAAGTTAAAAGCTAGACGGTGATGACGACCGTCAGCAAGACACTACGGTACAAGCACTTCAGTAAGCTATCGATCAGACCAAGACGCATTAACTAGACCACAGTAAGTGAAATGCTTCAAAGTGAGGAAAAACTGGTGCTGAATCTCCCCTCCAACCGTCGAAGACATATTGCTGGAATACATACAACTGCAAAATAATAGGACTGCTAAGAATGGCGAGCATGCAGCAGAAACGTCCAGGAACAATGTTCAGATTCGGGAAGAAGAGGCTATCTAACTGACCAATATAACCCACTTAGCAACGAAATTTCCACCAGCATTCAAGTACTTAACGGATGCCACTTAATTCCCTGGCAGCTGTTGTGGTCGTGACGCAAACCTCCAAAAAACAGTAGAGATGCACTGTTTGTCGTGGCACACTGGCATGATAATTTCTGTACAACAGCTGCGACAAAAACCCAGTGAGCACCAGTAGCCGCCACAAATTCTTGTCAGACTTCAAAAAAGTCAGAAATTTTCCCACTGGAAGCGTTTTACAGACAATGTCTTCCAAACACCGTCGTTTTTTAATAGTTTCAAGTCACATCCAAAACCTTCAAGATGCAGTGAGAGTGGAGATGCAAACGAATATATATACTGCGAATGGCTGTTGAATCTTGATTTGCGTAAGTTAGGACACGTTCTTGCTTGAAAAATACTTTTTCCTCTCGGATCTAAGCCGGATGCGATGTCTGTAAGTGACGAAACTGAAAATGACGAAACTGAACAGTTGCAGTATCCGAGTGACAAATGTTTGCTCACTGTTAGACGTTTTGATGTGGGGAGTGTGGTCCACCAGACCAAAGTCCACATTATAATGTTCGCGGGCAACCTTATAGCTCATGTATATGCATTATAATCCACAGTACATACCTGAGAATTTTTCGGCTGCTTTGATGAATCTTGCTTAAAGCAGGTCTTCAGACAAATGAACAGACAGCTTACGGCCTTAAATTACTCCTGTTGTCGTTGCACTTTCAGCGCGCAATGATTTGAAGGGACTTATAGTGAATGCGAGTAAGTGATTCCAATTTTTTACTCGGCGTCATCAATCGTCGCAAATACATAACGATTTTAGGTGCACTTTTATGACATGCGCTTGTAGGAACTTGTTTGATGATTATAAAGCTAGCAATATTTCTGAATATAACCACCTTCTAAAGCAGCGACGAGTAATTGTGCTTGCCCTCCACTTGATGGTTGCGGTCCGCGGGATTTTGTTGGCCATATTTAGTGAGAAACTGCACCATTGATTATGTTACACAAGAGGCTTTGAATGAGCTTTGATGTCCATGATATATACTGGGCGCATTAGCCTGGAATGGTCATACCCCCTAATGGTCATATCCCTGACTGGATTTATTGCAAAAGTCGAGTGCATAACACTCTGAAAAAACCAAACACATTTTATGCTGTTAGCTTGAAGTGATCAATGGATGTGAACCAAATTATGTATCTTGAAACAAAGAACACAGCTCTCGACGTGACGCCATCCCATAAACCCCCAGTTTGAGGACTCAGTCTTTTCTTTTGAACTGGTGCGTGCTTGTTCTCAAATTCAAAATGTTTAAAGTTTTGTCTCATTTAAAGCCAACATAGCGGTCTTTAAAAAGAATGCACACCTTCGAAACTAGTGAAAGCACATTAACTGGGCCGCGCTTTGATAGCGCCTTCTGTGCATCAAAACTAAGCATTAAGCAGTGTCGAAAAAAGATATACTTGGTACGTTTTTACGATTTGGTTGAAAATAAATCTGCATAATATTGTTGTGTAAAAGCGTAAAGCTTTCAAAAGGCGATCAACTGACAGAAAAAAATGAATGGGAAAACAGCGGGGCCTTTCGCACAGAAGTGAGTGACCTCCAACGGTGGGCAATTTTTCGTCTTCCATCCCAACCTTATAGTCTGGTTCCACTTTGTGCTTTATGTGATCCCTACTGTTTCAAAAGACACAATTTTGGTCTGGTATTCTGAAACACTGAAACCTGCCTTCGATTCAAAGCACACATTCTTCAGAACCGCAAATTACCACGAAACTTTCCTGTATTTAATGTAGACAGTGTTGGTTATAACATTGAAAAGACGTAATTTATAGAGAAATTTTAAAAAGTAATGGCTTGAGCAGCCTCCAGCCGTTGCTAAAACTTGCAGATCTAACTTTATTTCTGAGTCCAAAATGTGTTTATGAAAAGCTGTTTCGCTTTAGATGATTCTGAATATACTTTCGTATACTTTGTAGCATGTAAAGCATTCAGCTCTTTTTAATCACGCATAAATTTTGATTCATTAATTTAAAGCACGCAGCATAAACGTTTCCATGTGAAGTATTGTGTGGATCCGATCTGTGATCTTACGAGCGCTGTTGGCATCAAAACATGCGGAAATCCATACTGTCTCATTAGTTTGGTCAACAGCGTTATTTTCTGGAGTACAAAACTGCACATCTTCAATATGAGTAAATTAGGCTGGTGAACAAGGTGCTCTTGTACATCACTCAAAAGGTTGCTAAAGGCTCTTTGAAAACGCATGACTAGTTTTGCGCTTCTTGGGGTTCGTTGGGTAGGTATGGTCCCAGAGTTTCCGTCAACTTTATGTTCTGCTCACACCCAAATCGCAAAAACGGGCTAAATTAGTCATACTCTATTTTGTTTTGGTATGGTCCCAGAGTTTCCGTCAACTTTATGTTCTGCTCACACCCAAATCGCAAAAACGGGCTAAATTAGTCATACTCTTACCATTTTGTTTTTGATGAGAAACTCACGTGTAACCCAGCAGCGTAGCCCCTCTGCCGAACAGAGGTTTAAACTCCCATGACCTGGTATACTACCACTACCTCACCAACGCGATTAGGCAATAGCTCGTAAGCCTTACATTATTCCGTTGTATTTATCCATGGTTAAATTAAAAATATCTCTTTTACTGCTGGCATTCCGATTCCCTCCATTCTCAGATACCATAATCAAAGGAACGTGTTACCCGTTGGATTGTCAATGAACCTAGTAGTTTCCAATTTTGTGTGGATTATAAATGTGATGACAGTATTCGCCTGGAGTTTTGGGTATCTCGACGATTTATTTTGTACTGTTAGCAAAACATGTGAGTCATGTGGTTTTCAACCGATTCGCTGATTTTAGCACGTAAGATTAATAATATTCTCTCTCTATACAGAGGGTTGGTTGTATAAAAAGATTTCTATAATCCCAAGCAACCTAAGGTAAACAAAAAATGATTTTTGTAAATTGTTTTCCTTAACCTGAAGAAAATCCTCACTTCAAAAGGTCTACACAGTTTACTACAACTCATAAAATACATAACAACTAACGTCAATTTCCATTTTTGGTGAATTCTACATAGTTTGCAGAGTACAGTCAGAGCCAGAGTGACCAAGACAGCCAAATTTAAGAATATTTTTTTACCATTGTCCACTGATGTTGACTAAATAACTGACATTTTGACGAGGAGTTCTTCGAAAGCAATGAAACTACGATTAGCCAAAATTTAACCTTCTTATTTCGAATCCGCGTATCTCAATTCCGTAAAATAGAGTCAGATTTTCAGTACCAACCAGCTTCACGGTTTTCCGCAAATTAGGAAGACAAGAACCGCCGCTGTCTTGAGCTGTTTGGTTTAGTGATTGCCCTAACAAACTAAGAAAAACGTCTCGAAGTGCCTCAATTGCTGTGCGAATTAGGAATAAATCATAATTCTGACGTAGAACTCTATATCTTCCACATAGTAAGGTAAGGTCTACACAAAGCGGCAATATAACGAGGTCTTTGGAGTACTCAGACATCTTTCCGATCAGCCCGTTTGCAAACAAGCTTTGCGTGCAATAAATATCAGTCCTTCCCCACAGTATTGTTTGACAGTGTCATGCTAAAGACCATACTCCTCACACAAACGCCAAGTGAGCAGTATTAGATAGGTTTTTTGCTGACAGACATGAAGATTTACCCATCTTTATGTCTACTGTAAATAAAGTGGTTTATTTACGTTACCTTTAGTTGCATTTATTCTATGTACCGGCAAGGTGGTTAGCCAGTAAAGTGTATCTTTTAGGCGTTTTCTAATACAATGATGAGTATTTAATCATGCTTTATCACTAACTTCCGCAATTGTTTCACTTAATAAAGTGCAATCTTTCCTAAACATCGCAAACAGGCTGTCTTTCTCAGTTATCACCGACGGGATAAGGCCAAATGCCACTGGGCGTAAAGTGTTCTGAGCCGAAAAGCTTGGTTGCAGATAGGCTTTTTTCTATTCAGTTTTTTTTTGGGCGTAGATGTATGTTGTTTTTCACCCCTGACTTCGGAACCTCTGTCTTCTACATGACAGCTGCTGAATAGCCAAACAATAAGATAATTGCAGTCAGTACCTTATTACCTCCATTCAAGCCGTTGTTCATCAAGTTCCAGCGATGTTCCCTAAAGGACCAAAAAGAAAGAAGGGTCTGGAGTAATTGGTGTTCTGCCACGTTGTTTATTTTTTAACCTCAACAATTTGCGTCGATTGAACCAATTGGAACGTTAATAACAGAGCTGTTGAACGCTATTATCAGGTGCAGACAACACAAGTAAAAGCGGTCAACTCACCTGCACCAACGCCAAACCCACAAACAAATACGTATACAGATGCCATGGCAACGTTAACTAACCATGGCATTTGAAAAGCTTCCTTGATAGCCATACACAGTGTGAAAATTAGTAGGCATGTAAGCACAACACATAGCCCCCAAATCAGCAACACGCGTCTGCCAACTCGATCAATTACGAATATAGAAATAATTGTTACGCCAAGTAGAACACAACCGATGCCAGTCGTTGCGTAATTGGCTGCTGCAGCACTGAGGCCGTTGGATTTGAAAAGTTCCACCGAATAGAACAGAAGCTATAAAACAGAGTAAAAACAAACGCCAAAACTTTCCACATGCATTAAAACGGTAGGAACAAACCGACACTATTGGAAAAGGGAAAACGCTAAACGAAATCTTGAGTGAAAACTACAGTTCATTTGGTGAGGGATTATTTGATCTTGTTTAGTATGTGCAAAAAAGTTAAAGAATTCAGGCGTTATACTAATAATTGCAATTTCAGTGTTTTCGAGTTAACCGCTTCACTGTGAGCGTTGCTTGAAATAAAACTAGTCTAAACACGTATGTACAGATGCATGAATGCATAGAGTGTACGACGGTATAGAGGTCAAACAACAGTATGTTTTCATATACTCTTACACGCAGCGGAAGTACTCACTCCATTAAAACCAGATAACTGTTGGCCGCAATGAGCAGTTAGGGCTATTAGAAGTGCCAGCCGGAGGTGTGGCTTTCTCAGAATATCCAGCAACCCTGCCTTTTGAAATTATGTGACTCAATTATCTGACATACTTTGCCTGACGTCACGTCTAACTCTTTAGCAAACTCATCCAGTTCATGAAGAATGTCTTCAGGGTTACTGCGAAGCGATTTCAGAGCTGCTAACCATATTTATCAATGAAATTTGATGCTCACCACTGGTCGCACTAGCGGTATCTTTTTTTGCCAGATATAAATAACGAGGGCTTTCGGGGCAGAATAACAGACAAATAGCTCCAATACCACACGGAACGACATTAATGCCCATGGAATCATTGAAAACGAAGTCGGATTGTTACCCAGGAGATACGGCCATAAGACATCCGTATTCATTATTGACGGTAATCCGAGCATTTGTGAGATCACCACGGAAACGACGATCATTACTTGGTTTAACACACCACCCATCCCCCTCAGAGACACCGGAGTGACTTCGGATAAATAAATAGGTGCAATAGCGGTGTAAGCTCCTTTAAAATGAACGTATAAAATGAATGTCGATATACCAACCACATGAGAATCCAATGAGAAACCGTCCAATAATTATGATTTCGAACGAACGAGTCAGATTACACATCATGACGAGGACGGTTCCAGTTAAACATGGAATGGTTAGAAATAGTATTGCTTTTTTTCTAAACAAATATTTCACAAACCATTTTGGTCGCTTGAGTATACTCGGATTAAACCTACCGGCCAAGTTTGTTGCTAATAATGCCGCTGAAAAGAGCCCCAACCAGCCCACCAACAATGAAGGACGTAACACAGATCGACGCCACCGTGGTCTTGTAGCTCTCGTTACTCACACCATATCGGGATTCACTGATATTCCCAATAAAATCTGCAATGAACTTCACTTTTTCGAGGGGATGTTCACCAGACTCCTACATGCAAAGGTTGATTAATGACTGCGGAGTGATACCCATATTGAAATGATGTTGCGAACGTAATTCCCAACAACACAACTATTAGCCTTGCTGGCAGCATCCTAACCACGAAAATACATAATCTATTTGAATAGAATGCCAAACTCAAGGTCATTCACATGTGATTCAGGTGTAATTCAGCCCAGTAGAGCTGTGAGGGACAAGGGCATATGTATTCGCTCCTCTTAATTCATTAAGTTTACCCGTGATCCGGATTCCATAGAGCTCGCAATATCGGGGAAGTCACCGAAAGTGAGGGAAACTGCACACAAATAGTTTAGAGGGAAGAGTATCCGCCGGCGTAAAAAAACAAAAGCTGATTTTCGTTACAGGTGGGTGTACTACCCATGAGGCAAGCCACCCCAGAAACTAAGAAAAAATTGAGTCAAAATGGCCTAACATATTGAGCATATTTGACGAAGACAAACAGTACGCAAAGCGCCAGCTGCCCAGTCTGGTTTAATGCTAGAGAGGCTCGGAAGCCATCTATCAGTCGCTTGTTTGTCATTTTTTGGCACAATCATAAGGCGGACGAGTTTTTTATGACAAAATGCCGGCAAACCAAGGGCTAACTGAAGACGAGTTAGGCGCCTGCAAGTCCCTGTCGAAATGAGGAACACTGCCGAGTGAAGTGCGGCAGCATTTAACCGAGGAATTCGGTAAGGACCTTGACACTGAGGACATGTGCAATCACCATCCAAAACATCTATCTCTCCTGCTTAATAAGTGACGAATATTTAGGTCTTACCCTACGGATCATTGGGTTTTACTCGGGCTTATTTTACGCCTTCGGTTCCGGCGATGCTTCGTGAGTGCCGATGGGTGTTGGTGGGTCAGCCAGGGAAGGGCATTGCAGTCGAGTGCGCCCCTCCAGGGGGGCGCTCAGAGAATTCCCAGATGTATTAAATGTCGATCAAACACATAACACACACAGGCACGCAACAAACGTATGGCCCGTGGATACGATTTCTACACCTTTCTGCTCACATGTGGCATAGGTGCCAAGCATCTTGTCACGTATGTCTTTGTTAAAAGCGAGCAGTCTGGTCAAATGCGTAAGCTGTCCAACCATGTTGGTGGTAATGAATGGCGAATAAAATCAAGCGAAGACTTTTGTTCTGGACAAACTTGTGGCACCAGTTCAGGCGGCCAGTGTCGTGTTCAGCTGCAATGCTGTGCCGTTTCGAGGTCTGCACAGCTATGTGGAGGCACGTACGAATCACAAGACGTCCGTCACCCCACCCATAGGTACTCTACCGACAGGCGACACATATTCCCCCTTATAACTTATCTAGACAATGTCGCACATTTGGTTTTCTTTTCATCTTATTATTAGCACAAAGATTCCCACCGTGATCTATAAGTAGCGAGCTCCACGGACCCAAATTTCCTCCCAACCACACGGCTCACTGACTGTTTATCATTCGCAAGTGAACCACGCATGCAGAATCCGTGATGGTACATCTTGGCAATGTGAATAATTGTATTTAAGATCTCACCTGACAAACTATGTGTTTTCCTTGTTTCGAGATGCTTGGGGCCAGAATCACTAAGGCCGCACCATCATCATGTTGGAACCAAGGAGTCTGGCGAGTTAGGCGCCTGCAAGTCCCTGTCGAAATGAGGAACACTGCCGAGTGAAGTGCGGCAGCATTTAACCGAGGAATTCGGTAAGGACCTTGACACTGAGGACATGTGCAATCACCATCCAAAACATCTATCTCTCCTGCTTAATAAGTGACGAATATTTAGGTCTTACCCTACGGATCATTGGGTTTTACTCGGGCTTATTTTACGCCTTCGGTTCCGGCGATGCTTCGTGAGTGCCGATGGGTGTTGGTGGGTCAGCCAGGGAAGGGCATTGCAGTCGAGTGCGCCCCTCCAGGGGGGCGCTCAGAGAATTCCCAGATGTATTAAATGTCGATCAAACACATAACACACACAGGCACGCAACAAACGTACGGCCCGTGGATACGATTTCTACACCTTTCTGCTCACATGTGGCATAGGTGCCAAGCATCTTGTCACGTATGTCTTTGTTAAAAGCGAGCAGTCTGGTCAAATGCGTAAGCTGTCCAACCATGTTGGTGGTAATGAATGGCGAATAAAATCAAGCGAAGACTTTTGTTCTGGACAAACTTGTGGCACCAGTTCAGGCGGCCAGTGTCGTGTTCAGCTGCAATGCTGTGCCGTTTCGAGGTCTGCACAGCTATGTGGAGGCACGTACGAATCACAAGACGTCCGTCACCCCACCCATAGGTACTCTACCGACAGGCGACACATATTCCCCCTTATAACTTATCTAGACAATGTCGCACATTTGGTTTTCTTTTCATCTTATTATTAGCACAAAGATTCCCACCGTGATCTATAAGTAGCGAGCTCCACGGACCCAAATTTCCTCCCAACCACACGGCTCACTGACTGCTTATCACTCGCAAGTGAACCACGCATGCAGAATCCGTGATGGTACATCTTGGCAATGTGAATAATTGTATTTAAGATCTCACCTGACAAACTATGTGTTTTCCTTGTTTCGAGATGCTTGGGGCCAGAATCACTAAGGCCGCACCATCATCATGTTGGAACCAAGGAGTCTGGATAAACTTAAGTTTAATAACATATGTTTCCTCGTGCAAACCAGAAAACGTTGTTGAACAGCGGAAATATGTTGTGATAAATTAATGTCCCCCATCCACAATGCGATTTGTATCCGCTAGTTCCCCGTATTCAAAATCATTCCTTTACAAGCCATAGAAAATATTATTTATAGGTTTGCTCCCAGATCGCCTCCACAGTCACCAACGGCTGTTGTGTGACTTTAAACTGCCGGATCAGGGGGTGCAACTTGCACATGTTCTATCGATTTTTGAAAGCCTGCGTGAAAAACTCGACCGAGTGTCATATATTTCAGCTGCTTGAACTTAGTGAATCTTCAAACATTTTCATTGAGTGGATTTCTCAAGGATCAACTCTATTGCTTCGATGCTCGGCATCTGTGAAGCATGACCTGCCTCATTGATTGAGATACTGTTCCTCAAACCAAGTGGTGATCCATGGAAACAGATTTTAGCTTCTGCCAGCTTCTGCCGCCTAGTCGCACCAACGGCCAGTGCCTGAAGGATTGCCTATCATATCGGTTTCACTGTCAAACTTTCCGCAAACAAGCCATGCCGTGACGTTCATTTGGACCGAAGCGGAGAATCCCGGAAATTATTATTCGTCCAAATTTTCCGCCTCACGAAGTAGTGAGTTCAAACCCATGAGTTAATTCCATATTACCAGTACCAGTGCACTGGTGCGCCAGTTTAAGGAAAGCCGTGGTGACAACTTCAACTGGGAAATGCATGGTCGCCAACAACTGCGAGGACCATGTGCTTCGTTATCGCTGCAATCCGGTTATGGTTGTCGGGCTGCGCCCGTTTTGGGGGAGAAAGGGGTATTCAC